AAAAATCCTTTATATTCATTATTGATTGTGATGTTTTGAGCTATTATATTTTGAGAATTAGCCTTAGAAACAAGTAAGGCAAATGTTTTGGGATCAGTTAGTCTTCAATTGGACTTTGTAAATATCTCAAAAGAAAAATAGCCTTCTCATGAGGAATCTTTGACCATTATAAGTCCAAAATGTGTGATTAGCCTCCTGCGTAGGTAACTTTTTAGAATTTGTTTTTATTCTTTTTGTGGCCACTTTTCACATGTGCAAACTTTAATATGATAGACGCATTCTTATCCTAAACCCTTATGTCCCAAACACAAGCCACAAATACCATTTATCCCTTGCTACCCTTTGGGCCATTCACTTTTCTTAAATTCCATCATTTTGCGTTTTTATTCATGTAAATTTTATTCTTATAAGCATTCTTATTTGTCTTTAATCAAATTTATGTCTTGTGATGCTGTTGCTATTGTTACTTTATATTGTGGGATACCAATTCAAAAAAAACAAAAAGAAAAAAAAAGAAAGGAGCAGTAAAATAAAAATATATAGCTCAAAAAATCTTATTTGTCTTTAATCAAATTTATGTCTTGTGATGCTGTTGCTATTGTTACTTTATATTTGTGGGATACCAATTCAAAAAAAACAAAAAGAAAAAAAAAGAAAGGAGCAGTAAAATAAAAATATATAGCTCAAAAAATAAAAATGGAGAAAAAATCAAGTAAATAGAGAAGATGGAAAGAAAATAGGGAAAAAAAAAAAAAGGAAAGGAAAAAGAAGTGTCCCCACTGATTGCTCAAGTTCAACAACGCTACTACTTGTATATATATGCTTTGTGACAAATTTTGAATGCTACTTATTCTCTTTTACATATTTAATACTTACCACCCTTATCATCCATTTCACGTGACCTGTTTCTAACACTAAAAATGGGAAAGACCTTTTGCGTATTAAATACACATGTATATAGTGGTTGTAATTAGAATTATTACAAGCCTATGATAGAGCCCGACCTAGGATGGCTTGAGAGAAAGAACCCCATAAAGGTGAGATGAGTGACATAGTTACATTACTAGGAGATGCTTTTTTTTTCTAAAAAAAATATTCCATTGTCCCAACTGTGTTCATACCATGATCTCTTAGCATTATTACTCTGTAACTTTTGCTGATTTGAAGGGTGTAATCAGTTGGCTCATTACTTTCATATTTGAATATGATTGATTCTCTTAACTGCAAATATTTATAATTTGAGCTAATTTTATAGTCTATCGTTTTGCCTAGAAGTACAAAGTCTAATTACGGGGAAATTTGATTAATTCCTATTTTGTTATATGATTTTATCTCTGTTTTAGGAGTTTTTTGTGATAATAATGGGGTGAAATTGTAGCAAATATAGGAAAAATATAACAGAGGCAATTAAATGAAATAAAAAATAAAAAGAGGCTTGTTGTCTATTGTTTTTAATTTTCTCCTTTAATGGATTTATCTATGTGGAAGAAAGATATTCTTTCCTATGATTCCAATACTCTAGAGAGATTCGTAGGCTAAGGCTAAAGACATTAACAAAAGGACCAAACATTGCTACTAAGATTGATGATGGACTTAGATAAAGCCGAAAAAATAGGTGTACGAGATCTATAAAGTTTAGGGCCTTAAGATTGTAATTGGTTAATTTACAACATGGTTGGGCCCATTTATATCAACCTATCACATATATTCTTCAATTGGGCCCTGAAACCACCATTTCAGCCCAAACTACAAGTCTTTCATGGCCCCATAGCTCAAAAACATTGGGTAGCATTAAGGAATGGTAAAACAGTAATTTCACATGGCTACTTTCCTCAACAAGTCAAGCTAGATGCCACATAGATCAATGAAGGGCATGTTAGGAATCTTAAAGATCATTAATCTCTTAATTATATTAATTTGTGTAGCTGTTATATTTAATTAAAAGATTCTATATTCTACAGTATCTTTTATTTAATTAAATATCACAGTTAAACAAATTAAAGGAAGCATCTCCTCATCAAATCTATATCATCCTCTCCTATCAATATTAAAATTCAAATCATTATTTCTCCAAGACCAAGCCACTCATGAAAAAAAAAGTACATGTTATCAAAAAAAGGAAATACAAAGATATTCAAGACAAGGAAGATGAGGATGAAGATCAATAGTTTAAATTATATTATCTTGATTATCTTCACATTTTTACCTATTCAAGTTACCTAAAGGAACACATCTTTAACACTATAAAAGTAGGGTTTAGATGCAGATAGAGGACTGGGCTGCACTCACAGAACACGCAACACACCACTCTCTTGCTTATTCCTTTCTTCTTCTCCTTTCTTCCATCGCCATGTGTGGCTAGTCCTTAATTCTTGAAGATAGATCTTATGTCTTGAGTTCTTGTTCTTCATTAAAGAGTTGTAGTTTGATTTTTCTCTTTATGAATTTAATGATTTCTTAGAGTTCTGAGTTTTGAAATTTCATATATGAGATTTTGATTTTTCAAGTTGTTAATCTTTGCATCAAACTCTTTGTGGTTCAATTTATATTTTATGATTTGATTTCTTCATTCATATATTTTGTTCCTCTTATAATTAATTAATGTTTTTCTACAATAATATTGTTTGGGATGCATGGATCAATTATATTTTGAATTAATCCGTGATTATTCTATTTTAGGGGACAAACTATGAAATCAAATTGAATTAGATGCTAAGTTCTAGTCCTTATGGTTTATTTTTAGACTTTGCAGGATCAACTTCATATCTATTTGAATTGTGATAATCACATATCCATCCTCAGGAAGATTCACTATCATATTTGTTTATTTCTTTCTTTATGCGTTATTTATTTATAAAATTAAAATCTTAAAAACATATTTCTTCTATTTCCTTTATTTTCTTTGATTGTGTCTTTCATATTTAATTAGTTTTAGAATCAAATTTAACTTTACTCCGCATAAACAATAGAACTTACGTTGTGCTGTCATACTACATTAATCTAGAATTAGTTTGAGTGCTTTAGCACTGAGACGCATCACGAGCAACAAGCATGGACATACAGTCTATGAGGGTAAATAACTAGCAAGCACAGCCGAAACCACAAATACAAGCACAAGAATGATGCCCACAAATATCAAGCGAGCTTGTAAAATTCCTTAATTAAATATAAAAATGTTTTATAAAATAGGAACATACCAAGTAGCCACTAAATTAAATCTTTTTAGGGAGAACTAAATACTAATAACAAACGACAAGTTTGTAGATGTAAGAGTCAGGATCTCATTTTAGTCTAGGAGAAGATAGTAGAATAGCCCATAACTACTTTGGAGATTGGACGTAGAAGTTACATAAACTTAAGACTGAAACAATACAAATCATTGATACAATCTTCATATACTCTAGTTATATTTACAATGATAATTGTTCATATTTCTTTTTTTTTTTTACTGTTTTATTGAATTTAAAAAAAATTATTATCACGCTATTCTTAGTGACCTCCAAAACTAACACGGATTTTCAATTCAGTGGAGTTTCTATTATTATAATTTCTTTTGCTTAAAACTTTAGTTTGTATGGAGCTTTGAAGCAAGAATAATTTTTCACTCCGTCAAGTTATTCCCCTTCTAATCTTTTTATTGATTTTTGAATTGACTGGTTTTATGAAGTGAAATTTAAAAACTGCCAAGCACACACTTGAACCGCAGCCACACTATGAATCCGTTTGAATTAGCGGTAAAAAAAAAAAAAACTTATTTTTAATCTAAATTTTAAAAAAATGAGATTGGATAATGTAATTTATGTTTGGATTAATTTTTATAAAAGTCAATTTGTAAAATAAAAAAGTTCTCTGGATTATAATTAAATAAATAAGTTTAGTTTGTAAAATAACCCAAATGATTATGATTTTTATTAAATAATAAAAAATAACTAAAAATATGAATTTACAAAATATAATAATTTTAAATTATTATAATAGAAAGAAGTTATATTTAATGAATAAAGTATATTTAAATTAGATATCATAGTAATGTGAAAATTTTTTAATCAAATAATATTATGTAATTAATTGAATGACATACTATGCATGATTTATGTAAATATAAAATGAACAATAATGAAGTGGTAAAATAACTAAAAAAGGTGTGAATTTTATTAAATAATATTATCTCCAGTCCTTAATATAAGAACTAGTTGGAAACTTAATTTAGTCATAAATATAATATCCTAATCTATGTTGTCTCTAATATTTATCCATTTTGCCCCTAAGTAATCCTTACGTTATAGTTATTACACATGTTAATGAGTTTTTTTTTAAGATGCAGCTTTCAATGGACATGATTTATGGGAATATTTTATAGAATATAACATCTATTTATTACAAATAATTAATTTAATTAATTTTTTAAATATTCACAAATTAGTTATTTAACTCTTATATTAAGTATATATATTATACTAATATGAAAATTTTGATGCTTACATTTTGTACTGAAAAGAATGCAAGTCTAAGTTTGAATATAAGATGCTCTGGTCAAAAAAATAGTTTGAATATAAGATGGTATAATATAGTTTAAGAAAGATTCTTTTAAAAGCATGGGGTCCGACTAATTTTTTTTTTTTTTATCTTCTCTCTCCACTTTTCAAAAGTCATAAGCTTCAAATTTTTACTTATAACTTATGGTGGCTTTTCATCCAAAAGTTGAATTACTCCAATACCACTGCAAGCACACCAAATTTCACTCAATCTGCAAAATCGTACATTTTGCTCCAATAAGTTACTTTTCTCCTATTGAAATGCTGAAGCAAACAGGCACTGTATAACCAATTCCCTGTTTCATGCAAGATTTTCATTGCTCTACTTCTCAAAGCGTAAGATTTCCAAGTCACGCAAGTAACCGTTTGCTTGTTTGTAATTTAAAAGTAAACATCCACTTGGTTAGTCTTTTGAACTACAAAAGTAATTGCATATTTGCATATAATATGGAAAAAAGAGATAGGAAAAAAATAAGAGAGAGAGGATGACGTTTGAGTAGTCTCATCCAATCACTCCCTCTAAATGCATACCACGTGACTATAAAGATCTAATTTAGTTTATTGTAATTCTATTGAATGCATTATATACAAGGCACTTATTTACTGACAGTTCTGATAGTAGTTTGAGGACACAGAAAAACTGAAAACTGGTTTCACTCAAACTTGGTAAAGGTATTTCCAGCTTCTTCGAAAAGCTGCCTAACTTGCAACACACACAGGTTTTTTGTGACCACCATATATACAAAAAACTAACTCCTGCTGTTCAGAGAGTTGGTTACTTGAGAGGCTAAAACGGCAGCCTTGGCTCTTGTACTCATCAACATCAACTCTCTCACAGCACGACGCTGGTGCTGCCGCGCATTCTTTGCTCGCTTTGGAGCTAAACGGGTGTCCCTTTCCACAAATGCTAGTCTGAATTTCTCAGCCACTGACAATTCAGAGGGACATTCAGGTGATTGAGGGGCGGCCTTCATAATAAATCCGTGCACTGCCCATGTCCTAGGATCAATATCTCTAACAGCCGCATCGTCCAATGCAATATGTTGTAACGCTTCCCAAGGAACATGATCATCGTTGAACCCAAAAGGAGATTGCTTAGGATTTACTACAATGCGCGGACACTCTGCAGAAAAATCTTCTAAAGAATCCTTATCAATATTCGGCTGCAAGACAAAAATGCAGGTGAAATTTAGCAAATTCTATTTTAAACATCATGGAAACAACTCCAGCAACTATTCTTTTTTTTTTTTTTTTTTTAATAATAAACTAATATTATTTAATCACAGAAAATTCCTTCACACTGTAAGTCGTATGGAGTACATGCTAGTCAAAAGAAAACTAGTATTATCCAATCACAGATTCTACCAACACATCTCAATACTTTCCATGCCTCTCACAACCACCAACCCCCCAATATACTCACACCCTTCCCCTTTAACTGCCAATTAAGAAATACCCAAAACATCCTTCACTCACATGATCTGCTCTCACATTCTCATTGGGCTTCCTCCTATACTAATTGAAACCCATGTCCGTCAAAACATTTAATTAAAAAGCAAGCAAGAGTCTTATTTTATCGACGAACAAGGGAATCCTCACTGATAGGTTGGCTAGAAGATCTCAAGTGTTGATTTTGGCAGACAAAAAATGAGTTTTAAGCATAATCATGTCCCTCATTTTCTTCTAATCCTATCCTAGTAGCCCTGTCTAGATATGTGCACAAAGCCTATCGACATTCCAAACTCAAGGTAAATAATACATCTGCAATTCAGCAAGAACAGAATCTGCAATTAGGTAAAAGTTACCCTAATTGAGATGAGAAGAGTTTGAGTCTATACCCATACAAGCCATCTCAAAGATTGGGCACCACAAGCAATTGCATTTGTATCAAGCTCCTCCCATGAATCTTCCTCCAAGTAATTCAGCTTTGGTTTAAATATACTCAAGCATCTACGGGCAATGCTGTCACTCCTTGGACACCCTCTGCAACATTAACTATAGTTCATTGCCTGTTATGAAATTTCAATCCTAGTTAAAATACAATGTATCTCCCAATAGTGGCCAAAAAGAAAATCACTATGCAATGCATGTAATGAATAAAGAGGCTTCAAACTTTTGATTTTCTTTATCGAACTAAATTCACATAGAAGATTAATCCATTTATACATATGTGAATAAATGAAATTTGTTGAGCTATTTAGTTGTACTTGCAAACCAATCCTAATTCCTAAATTCATCAGAAACTGTTAGGACATTCAATTAATGACAAGCTTTGCATATAAAACCATGTTAAGACATTCAATTAACTCCCCATAAGGTCAACCATAAAAATCAGCATCTATGCAATAGAGGAATCAGAGAGACAAATTGAGATATGACTTGTGCCATCTGTACAATGACTGAATCGCATAGGAGATATGAAATACATGAGAGGAATTCTACCATGCTCCAATTTATCCAAAGGAAACACGATTATAAGTTTTACCCAAATAATTAGAGCACCACGCACATCATGGTGGTGCATTACAAACTACAAATCCACTGCAAAGACAAAATCATCAAAAAATAGAAACTTCTGCCTAAAGGTATCAAAGTCTTGTGTTTACTCTCTCTCTCTCTCTCTCATGCTCGAATATAGTCTTAGCCATATGAGCAGGCCATTCATTTGTCAATGCTTTGAATCTTGCTCAATGCCCTAATCTGCAACTGCCAACTGGCTTTGGTCTAATTCCCATTGAATTTCCGATTTTCAAGCACACACTGGCCCTTTTTTGGCTTTCAGATATATTCCTTTTCTTCAACAACGGGGGATAAAACAAAGAAAGGAAGAACATTAAAGATGTCTACAAGACAGAAAAGGTATATACCCGCATCTTAATGTCTCCAGCAATGAGCACTGCTTCACAAGTTCAGATACACCCATAGCAGTAATTTTGCTGCACCGGCTGCAAAACAGTCACAATATATCAAGAGGCTTCATATGATAGAGAAGCAAGTTAATCTAAAGTACAAGAAAAGTGCATATATTATATCATGCGGGGCACGAATTACAATATGCTGATGTCTAGCTAGCTACTTGCGGATGAAAATTGTACAGCTGTTGAAAAATCAGCAAGATGTTTGTTTGGGCCAGAGTAAAAAGTAAAGAAAATTCAGTATAATTATAACATCTGGTGGAAGCATGTAATCAGAAGAGTAACTGAGAATCTGCTTCAATTCTATTAGCTTCATAAACTCATACATATAGCCAAAAGGCTAAGGTTACACTCATTAAATCAGATTCTAAACTAAAGATATCTCAGGATAACCTAAATAATAATATCAACAAATGACAGAAAAAAAATAACAGAATCAGATTAGACCAAATAATAATAACAATAGGATTTTCCTATGGGAGAAATGGCATGGCAGCTATAAGCTATGGACAACAGAACCAACAAAGTACATTTATCTATAGTTAGAAAATCAAACCTGAATTTTCAATAATAATTAGACACTTTGAATAACCTCATGGAGTAGTTTAAATGGCTGGGTCCACCAAATAATTTGCAATCCAGCTGGTCAATTTGCATTATGTTTATCATGCATTCTTTTAACATCATCAAAGCTTATTAGTTACTTCTGATTATTTATAATATATATAACAGGTTAAGAGACTAAAAATCATGAAATATCTATGGCATTTATTTGCTATGTTAATACATTGAAGAGCCAAAGCTCTATACCTAATATCCAGAGCTCTAATAAGCCTGCATACTTCAGCAGCTTTTATTATGCCAAAATCAGAAACATCTGAACCAGAGACATCTAGGATTTCCCAGGAAGTATCAGCTAATGATATTAGAACATCATCGTTGAGCAACTTCCTTCGCCTAGCAATAGCTGCCACAACCATCTGCCAACATGTAATAAACTACTTATCAATAGATTACATAAGAAGGTCAACAAGAAAACAGCTATATTGCTTTAGAATATCCCCTTTCCCTGGCCCATTTCTCAATTCCATATCCTAACTTTATCATGACACCTCATGTCCTATCCCAAGTGAAAAAGTAGCACTTTGACACTACCAAGTGCATTTACACTAATGCAAAATAAAAAATTTTCTGTCGAGAAAAAAAAACTGTTCTTGAAAAAAGAACTTACAAGCTTATGCTCCTCTAGTCCTATTTATAAGTCACAGGCCAAGAAAAATCTTAAACTTCATTAACTCTCCCTTAAAATTCAACAACTTTCTAACTTTATCCCTAGTTATATCCCATGAGAATAAAATCAACACAAGAATAAATTAAGAGTAAAATTGTACATTCATATGGAAAATTCTCTCTCTGCCCTAAAATATGACCAAACAATTTCTTTTCTCTCTACCCTATAAACAGGACCAGAGGAGTAAGCCATACAGAAAAATAATTTGACAAAAAGCTTAGATTCGACTTAAAATTATTACAAAATATGCTTCATGGCATGTAAGTGCATATGCGCACAATTTTGCATGCACAATGCAAATTGAAGTGCAGATTTCTAAAATATTAGGTCTGAAGGTTATCAAATTTTGAATTCCCAATCCGGGCATATTTAATTTGTTCAGACTGTACAAAAGCCTTTAAAAAAAAGAAAAAACGAAAAAGCTAAACTGCAAACAAGTGCTTAAATAATCGATATTTCTTTAATGGTTTTCTAGTTGCTATCAATCTTCCTAACGTATTCAAGGTTAGCTAGCAGTACGTTTTCTCTATTTTTTTAAGACCAAGCCACTTCATCAAACTATAGTTTTCATCAAAATTAGAGAACCAATACCACCCCGATCTCAATTTATTTATATATGATAAAATTTAAACATGAAATTTAAATATACCCTCAACATGACAAATGTATATATTCTTTTTACATCCTTGTGAGTTGAAGAATTGCAACAGAAATGACTGTAAGAATATCACCATCATACCACATGACATGATAACATTCTGAATTTGGTTTCATCCGGTGCAATGTAGCTATTTCAGGTATTTGATCATTATGACTAACTTGTTAACAGCAGAAAATATGGCTGTTGAAAATCACATTCTCTTCCAACTTCAATTCTTATTTTTTATGCCTTCAAGGCACATATTTGTTGATTCTGTATCTAAGAATTCAGGGTTTTTTTCCTAGTAAGTGCTTGATATATCTCTGTTTTGTTATACATTTTTACATATAATTTTAGGATGTTACTATGATTTTTAGGCATATTTGAAGGAGATGTGAGTATTTTGTGCTGAAAATTAAACGATTTAAAAAGGGTCAATTTATTATGTTTTTATTGCTTTTATTATTTTCTTAATCACACTGAGAAAATTAGAAAAATAAACAAATGATGAGTGTAACTCAGACAACTGCAGCAGAGCGATGACATGGCACAGTAGGGGACATACAACATGATGCAACTAGGGATTGGGCTTGGACTGCCAAGAGCCCAAGCGGTTCTGTTGAAGGACCAAAGAAGAACTATTATGGACCAACAAGAGGCTAGAAAAGGCCCACAACATCAACGGATGGAGCTCTAATTAATTGAACTAGACCCAAACGTAGAGGATGATGAGGAGACCAAGCTGTACGGTGCATGGGAGACTAAGAACCTTCAGTGTTTGCAAATATCACAAAATAAGGCAACGTGGATGCATCTTCTTTGAGGATTCAAGGACATGTTGGGAAAAGACCACTTCAAATACTCATTGACAAAGGAGCAACACATGATTATTTACACTACGATTTGGCAAAAGGATTAGCGTAGAAGAGAGAAATAGAAACAGTGGCAGTAGTTGAAGTAGCTGGTGAAGGCAAGCTGAAAGTATATGGCTTATGGAAGGGTTTCAGATGGCAAATGCAAGGGAAGATTATCTATGGGACTTGAGAGTTAGGGAGGCTAAGACCTATGATATTGTTCTTGGGCTACATTGGCTAAAGAACAATGTGCATCATGTTCCAGGAATTAGGATACCTCGGCAATGTCATTCTGGTACAATGGGAGGATGTGTAAACTGCAACCAAATGGAATGAAGAGCTGTAAGTGGGCTAAGAAGGTAGATGAGCCAATGAAAGGAAGCTAACCTTCAATGCCTGCAAGTCAACCAAGTGATGTTGTTGTGCAGGGGTTAAACAGCATCTGGCATGATTTTCAGATGTGTTTAGTGAGGCAAAGGAGCTGCACCCCATAAGGGAAGATCATAACCATCCCATGATACAAGAGAACTCTTCTCCAATAGCCTCTCCTATCGTTTTGGCCAAGAAAAAGGACAATTCTTGGTTCGTCTGCATTGACTATAAGGAGCTTACCAAGAGAACAGTGAAAAATAAGTATCCCATTCCTTTGGTGACAGAATTATCGGATGAGTCAAGGGCGGCAACGTAGATTACAAAGGTATCTGCATGCCAAGTACCATCAGATTTGTATGGAGCCTAAAGATGCTTAGACTGCTTTTAAGACACATTTGAGGCACTATGAATGGTTAGTAATGCCATTTGGTCTTACAAATGTGACTGCAACATTTCAAGGGGCAATGAACAACATATTTAGAGAGCATTTAAGGAAGTTTGTGGTAGTGGTTTTGATGATATGCTTGTGTATAGCCCATCTCATGTGCAGCACTTGAAGGAGGCGTTAAGAATCTTGAGGAAACATGGTTATTTTGTTAAGGAAAGCAAGTTAACCCTTGCTGCAACCAAAGTGGAGTATCTTGGGCATATTATTAGCAATGGTAGTGGTTTTGATGATATGCTTGTGTATAGCCCATCTCATGTGCAGCACTTGAAGGAGGCGTTAAGAATCTTGAGGAAACATGGTTATTTTGTTAAGGAAAGCAAGTTAACCCTTGCTGCAACCAAAGTGGAGTATCTTGGGCATATTATTAGCAATGGTGGAGTTCCAACTAAACCCGAAGAAGATGAAAGCATTCTTGGATTGGCCAGAACCTACAACAGTGAAGCCATTACAGTCATCTTTAAGGTTGGTTGGGTATTACCGAAGTTTTATGGAGCAACATGGTGAATTAAGACGGTCTCTAACAAAATTGCTGAAGAAAAATAACTTCCCATGGTCAGATTCAACTGCTGCAACCTCCATATTATCCAAGATAACTCTAGTGACAACACCAGTTCTAGCTCTTTCAGACTTTTCCAAGATGTTTGTAGCACAAATAAATGCATGTGGTAGTAGGTTAGGTGCAGTTTTGATGCAGCAGGGCCAACCTTTGCATTTTTCAGTAAATCCTTGGGCTCCTGGGAACCAAAATCTCTTAATCTATGCAAACGAGTTGCTGGTGGTTGTTCAAGCGATTGAGCATTGGCACCAATATCTTGAGGAGAAGAAATTCATCATCAAAACTGATCAACAAAGTCTGAAATATTGTTGGATCAGAAATTGAAGACCTCTTTCTTGATGTGTTGGGGAACTCATGGGATATGACTATGAGATACATTATAAGAAGGGAAATGTCAACAATGTGGACGATGCTCTTTCTCATATGCCAAAAATGGAGGTTATGCAGATGACACTCTCTACTTGCTCTAATGAACTCTTGCTGGAAATACTAGAGTTGGGAGGATGATGGTGATTTAAGAAACCTCAATCTCCCATTTACAGCAACAACAAGGAGCTGTGGGGAAATATACTTGGGATGGCACTTTCTTGAGGAAAAATGGAAGGTCGGTGATAGGAAATAATCCTCAAGGCAGAAAATCTTAGAATGGCTTCATGCGAGCCCTCAAGGCGGTCATTCAGGTGTGCAGGCCACTTATCAAAGAACATAAAGCTGTTTTGTTGGAAAAAAGCTGCTTCAAGAAGTGAAGGGTTATATCTGGGGCTGTTACAACCTATTCCTATTCCTAATAAGATTTGGGAGAGTGTGACAATGTATTTAATTGAGGGCCTACCTAAATCTAATAGGAAGGATGCTATTTAGGTAGAAGTTGACAGATTAAGCAAGCATAAGTGATAGTGATCCTATCTTTTCAAAAGCAATTTTTAGAAGGAGTATCTGAAAATATTATAGATTGGCCAGAAACTAATCTCTTCATATCAACCTCAAAACAGATGGCCAATCACAGGTCTTAAACCATTGTCTAGAGACCTATCTACATTTTGTGTTGGGAAAAGCCAAAGGGTAAGTACAAATGGTTATCTTTGGCTGAATGGTGGTACAATACCGCTTTCCATACATCAACCAAAGCTACTCCTTATGAGTTATTATATAAGTAGCAACCATCAGTCCATGAGTAGCAACCATCAGCCCATATTCCTTATAGAAGATCTGCAGCAGTGGAAATGCTTGATAGATCATTTACAGCAATGGAGGAAGCTCTATTGGTGGTCAAACATCACTTAAACAGGGCTGTTAATAGAATAAAACAGAAAGCTGATGCGCAGAGGAGTGACAGGGAGTTTGAAATAGGGCAGTGGGTTTTCCTTAAGCTAAAACACTATGGATAAATTTCTACAGCAACAATAAGTCCGCAAAAATTAGCCAAAAGGTATTTTGGGACCTACAGAATTTTACAAAAAGTGGGTCCAGCGGCTTACAGATTGGAGCTCCCACAAGAATCTATAGTTCACCCTACCTTCCATATCTCACTACTAAAGCTATGTCCAGATCCTACTATAAAGCAACGCCATCCACTAGAAGATTGGCCTACTCCAACTCCAGAATTAATACCAAAAAGAATTTTAAACAAAATAATGGGAAAAAAGAAGGGACATATCATCACAGAAATTTTGGTTCAATGGCAAGGCCTACCAAATGAAGAGGCAAGCTGGGTTTCACTGTTCGAGTTGCATAAACAGCACCCTACTTTCAATTTTTCAGACCCTTGAGATCAAGCGTTTTTCGGCCCGCAGGGTAACTGATGTATCATTTTTTGAAAAGGAAATAGTGAGTTATAGCTAATTAGTAAAGTAGCCATTAGACTTGGGATGGGACTGATACCTATAAAAATGAATGAGATTGTAATTAGTGACAGCGTAGGAAGTAACTTAATTCAGAGTACTATTAAGGAAAAATTCTCTCTCCTACCTTTCTCATCTTTCACGACACACCACTTACCATGAATAATAAGATTGAAGGCCTATGAACTAAAAGAAGGCCCTTTTTCCAGTGGCTTAGTCACCCAGTAACAGATAAACAGCACAAAGAAGGAAAGAGGTTCATGTTAGTATATTAATTGACAAATTTCCTGGTAGCTTTTAACCTAAGAAAAACAATATATTCTCTCAGGATTGCAATAATTCTGATATTTAGAAATAGAGAGGTTTGTCCTTATGCTATATGTTACATCTGAAATGCACTAGCCATATGCTCAAAACTTTTACTTTCAGAATTTATGAAAGGAAAGTGTTCTGGTACACTACCTTTATATCAGCTGGCAGGTTGATAGCAATCTCACCCAAATCAGCAATGATATCCTGTAAATGCCTACCAACAACTCCAAGGCATAAACTGACTAAACTTGGAGGCTTTGTCTTCTTAGGTAGGGAGACTACATATAAGAACCATTTTCCAAGCCTAACGTCAGAAATGAATCGCAATATAAATAGTTTGGCATTGTGCAAAATAGTATGCAGAACCAGATTTTGATCACTCTTGTCAAGTCTAAAACTAAAACCAGCACAGTGTAACAATCATCAAAGATTAGCATGAGCTGATGAAAACAAAATGACAAGTCAAGAGTGTGATGAATAAGGTAAAAAACTGAATGCCTGCCAACAACTCCAAGGCATAAGCCGACTGGTCCAGCAAATCTGGAGGCTATCAAGCACAAAACACAAAATCCTTTCCATATTATCCACTGCTAACACTCAGAACAACATCATTTTGAAGTTAGTTATTTTCGCAATATCATGTCGATCCCCAACGAAAACCATGACTGTACAAACCAAAAAAGAAAAAAATTCCAAAACTAAAGTAGGTTTCGTCATAGAGCTTGAAATTTTAAGGCTTTACCTCTAACACGAAATACTGACACAAAACGGTACATCAAATAATAAATCCATACCCGAAGAGGGAAAGAAAGGTACCGGAAAAATGAGGGTCGGCGAAGATACTTGAGGGCTTGGAATTGATATTGGATCCGGGATTCAAATCGAGCTTTTGCAACGAAGTTGTCAAAGTCGTCACAGCTTTCCCTTTATCCATCAAAAATTAAAATAACGAAGAAATACTCTACCACTGAGGCAAGAGAGATTCCAGGGCAAACGAAAATTAATTAATAACGCGAACTTCTCCTGGTGACAAATATCTCACAGTAACAACCGACTTTTGAAACTGGTCAAAAAAAGAAGAACCGACTTTTGAAGGAACAACCCCCCTCCCCAAAAAATATTTTTTAAGGCAGTAAAGTTTCCTCAAGAATTAAATCGACCTTACGAACTTTACAAGCACCGGAGCATACCAAGAGCAACATGGGTCTCACCAAGTTCACATCCCCATTTTCTTGTCTTTTTGCTTCATGATTTGCAAGTCCATTAAAATATAGGAAAATTAAAGCAAAATAGAGGTGAATTTTAAAAAACAAAAGAGGTCACCTGACTTTAACAAATTCCAAATGAGATAGAGTAACTAAATTGAATTTTAAGATATCAGTAAATTTATAATGTTACCTTTTATTATATTTTTAAAAGGCCTAAAGTCAACCTCACCAACTGGTGCCAGCAACCGGCGCTGAGTAGTCTGGTGATCAGCAATTGTTTTGGAAAAAATTGCAATAAAAAACCTTAAAATATATAAAAGTATAATTTTAGGTTGTTTAATTCACAAAATTGCTACTAAGAACAAGGTTTTAAATGAGTTATGAAGTATTAGAAAAAATATAAAAATATCTTGCTTCTTTTTGTATTTTCTTTTTTCATCACATCCTTCCCTTCTCTTTCCTTTTTCATACAAACTGATGCTTCTAATGCAGCCAACAAGGTCATTGGATTCGTGAGTATCCTATCAACTCTCAAAATCTAAAATGCAAAACCCCCACCGGTGAAAATTTTGATATTCCAAAGATTTATTGTCACAAAATGATGTAACGTCCGCTCGAAGATATCCTGCTCTGTGCCATTATTCTCTTCCCCTATTAGCCACAGTGGAGCCAAGCCCCAAGCCCGTCACACGTACAACTGGTTACATTAATAGCTTTAATTATCTTTCACATGTACATCATCGTTCTTCTCATGACTGCACTCTACCCTAGGCTGGCCATCATTCTTCATCTCCAGCACGAACGGATCAAAAGCCAGATTTACGTAGTTTGCTCCTTCTATACATAATTGTTGTAATATTTTTTTTTGGGTGTGTCAAAGAAAGGATCCTACATTAATTAGGAATGTGGGAAGATAAAAACAAATTGAGTATTAATAAAGAAAAATTGAAAATTGAATAGTTTTAATGCCTTAAACATGGAGCAATAAAAATTCTTAATGGGTGTTGAAGATTTCAAATATCAAACGGTGGATTTTTATTGCACTTAAAGTGCCAAACGATTTCAATGCATTATGAAACCGCAATGCCACCGTTTGGATGATTTAATCATCAATTCAAAATGGAGCAACACCTTGAAAGCTTTTAAACATTTTTAATATATTGAATGATGATTTTGAAAATTTAAACGGAATGCTCCATTTCCTTGCCTCCAATGGTTCAAATCATGCAATCAAGTCATTCAATGTCTTCAAAGTTCAAAACTGAAATTTTATCATTAAGAGGCAAGAAAACGTTCATATCTTGGAGCCTATATAAGAGGCATTGGCTAGAGGTGCAAAGAGACATAGCTCTAAAGTTTTCAAGCTCCTCTCTTCCCCCTCTTGTGTGCTCTCTTACCTACTAAGTTTACTACTATCTTCTGCTGTTCTGCTCACTGTGTTTTACAGGAAGGATCCGTTTAATCCTGGAAGTGCCGCATCCTTATCCACCTGTGATTGTGGAATAGCTCTTAAGGACAGCGTCCTTAGGACGTGACTCGGATTAACTTTTATCTTGTAGGTGCTGCCGCCAACAATAATTTCCTATTTCCAGCCCGTGTTTACCTCATCTATACAGCACCCCTCACATATTGGATTTTTTTTTTGTTATTAGTAATAACATTGTTGTAATTTCCCAATAAATACTTGTTTTCACTCATTTCATAAAAAAAATCTATGAACAAATTTTGTGTTCATTATAAAATTATGACAAAATTAGTCATAAATTACACACCCATGCAATGCACATGAGAGCTTTCGAGTTGACAACTAAATTGTGAAAATTGGCATTAACTCAATTTTTAGTAGAAATTGACATTATTTTCACAATTTAGTTATCAATGCCAGGTTTTAGTATAAAAAATAATAAATGTTGAAGAGTTATTCACAATGACTTAAGTTTTAGTAGAAACTGGTATTATTTTACAATTTAGTTATCAATAACAAATCTAGTATAAAAAATAACAAGTGTTGAAAAGTTATTCACAATAACTTAAGTTTTAGCAGAAATTGGCATTATTTTCATAATTTTAATTGCCAACAACAACTCTAGTTTGAGAAATAATAAGTGTTGAGTCTTTAATAAAAGAACTTTTACTATTGAAGAATCAATTCATGTCGTGTTGGTTGAAACTGAGTCAATTTCAAAACTTCTAGATGATGATGCTAAGATTGTTCAAGGTCTTGAAAAATTGAGTCTAAACAAGTCTTCCAACAAAATGCCTTTTGTGAAAAACAAAGAAAATAAAGATAATTCCAATGAAATGTTTTCTCAAGATAATCTAGATAAACCTAAGGCTTGGAGACATAATAAAGACCATCCTATAGATCAAGTCATTGGTGAAATCAATGAAGAGGTCAAAACTCAGAGACAAGTATTCAATAAAGTGTGTTTCTTTGCAATTATCTCGAATATTGAACCTTCCAATATCGACAAAGCCCTATCCGATGAATTTTGGATAGCAGCAATGCAAGAAGAGCTAAACCAATTTGAGAGGAATCAAGTTTGGGACTTAGTACCCCAACCTAATGACCATCCAGTCATAGGCATCAAATGGGTATTCAAGAATAAGCTCGAAGAATCTGCACAAATTGTTAGGAATAAAGCCAAACTAGTGGCAAAAGACTATAATCAAAAAGAAGGTATTGATTACGAGAAAACATATGCTCTAGTAATTAGATTGGAAGCCATACAAGTACTCTTAGCCTTTATCTATATAAAAGATTTCAAATTATATCAAATACATGTTAAAAGTGCTTTTTTGAATGGTTATATTATAGAAGAAGTTTTCATTGAACAACCTCCTGGATTTGAAGATCCAAATCTTCCTGATCATGTTTATAAATTGAAAAAAGCTTTATATGGATTGAAATAGGCACCTAGAGCTTGATATGAACGTCTTAGCAATTTTTGATAGAAAAAGATTTGGAAAGAGGCAAAGTCGATGCAACACTCTTCATAAAAAGAAATAGAAAGGAACTCTTAATTGTTCAAGTCTATGCAGATCATATCATATTTGGTACTACTAATAAGGATCTTTGTCAATAATTTGCCAAGTTAATGCAAGGAGAATTCGAGATGTCTATGATGGGAGAATTGAACTTCTTTCCTAGATTACAAATCAAATAAAGGAAGAATGGCATATTTATATCACAAACGAAGTACCTGAGAGAGCTTCTAAAGAAATATGGTTTCGATAAGGCAAAAGGTGCAAATACTCCAATGAGCTCTACAATTTCTCTGGGTACGGACGAGAAGGTCAAGGATGTGAATTTGACTAAGTATAGAAGAATGATTAGATCACTACTCTATCTCACAGCAAGTAGACCAGATATTCAATTCAACATAGGGATGTGTGCTAGATGTCAGTCAGCCCCTAAGGAATCACATGCAAAAGCCGTTAAGAGAATTCTTAGATATCTTACAGGAACACCAAATCTGGGGATATGGTATCCAAAGAATAGAGCAGAATACTTAATAGGATACTCAAATGCTGATCATAGAGGTTACAAGACAAATAAAAAAAGTACGAGTGGACAATGTCAATTTCTTAGAGGTTTCCTAGTTTTATGGTCAAGCAAGAAACAAAACACTGTGGCCATATCTTCTACAAAATCAGAATATGTTGCCACTGCAAGCTGTTGTGCTCAAATATTATGGTTAAAATAGCAGCTACAAGATTTGGGAATCAAATTAAAGGAAATCCCAATTCTCTGCGACAACACGAGTACAACAGTTTATCAAAGAATCCTGTCCATCATGCCCGAACTAAACACATTGATATTCGACATCACTTCATTCGGGATTATGTTCAAAAGAAAGACATGAAGGTAGAATTCATTCCTACTGAATATCAAGTTGCAGACATTTTCACGAAGCCCCTTGACCAACAGAAATTCAATTACTTCAAATAAAAATTGAGAATGGTAAATCCCAATGAGTTGTAGGAAATTCTATAACATCTCTTTATTTTGAGTATTTAGTTTTAGTGTTTTGATGATCAAAAAGCTTACTTAAGCATCAGAATGGATAGAAATTTACTTTGCAGGAAACTCTGTTTTGACATTAAAAAATAGAGATAAATAGAGAAGAAGATATTCAAAGAAGACATCGATAATTAGAGTTCAAAAGTTGCTCTATTTATCAATCACTTGATCGATAATAGCATTTATGGATTAGATCATCGATTACTGAAGCATGTGGAGAATGTCACTTGGCAAATTATGGATAACTTGTTCTATAATCTAGATTATTGAACACATGATTGATCAACTGAAAGAAAATTCTGTGCCTAAGCAGAAAAGCAGTCCAAAAGGTAACCCTGATCTAATCGAACATCTCTTTTATCGATAACATTATTGATCAACACATGCAAGTATGGTTTCTGACTGCAAAGTATCCATAATGTGTTCGATTATATGCTTGTTCCACAACGTGTTCCATAATTGTTCATCGTATTCTTATGTTCTTCAAAATTATCAAACGGCTGATCGATCATGCACATAATCAATAATCTGATCGATAATTCTTAGGGTTTTTAATGTTATGTTTTTGAAATTCCTTTGTTTGTTTCAGAACCCTAACTCGATAACCGTTACCCTTGTTTTCTAACAACGGTCAAAATCTCTCCTATTCCTGTACCATGTTTGGATGGAGAGAAAATGGGGAAGGAAAGAAAATGAAAGAGGAAAATAGGAGAAGAAATGAGTTTTTCTCTATTTGGATGAGGGGAGAAAAGTGAGAGGAAAGAAAAGTAGAGGAGAAAATAGGATGTGGGACCCATTTTATTTTCTCTCCAAATTTTCTCTCCATATATGGA